AAACCAAAAATAAGAAAACAAAAAAACAACTATAATCTTCATTATTTGTCTCCAAAACCAAAATGAAAAAATGGATAACAATTCGTTTTTTTCCGATTTGGTGAATAATGGAAAAAACGGTTAGCGGCTGTTTTCTATTTTCGTGACTAACGGCGATGCCGGATTGAACCAGGACTAAAGCAGGTCCAGGACCAGACTGGAACCAGACCGGGACTGAGACCAGGATTTAGACCAGGACGAAGACCAGAACTGAGACCAAGACTGAGACTGGGAACAGGACCGGGACTGAGACCAGGACCAGACCAGGACTGAGACCGGGACCAGACCGGGACTGAGACCGGGACCAGACCGGGACTGACTGGGACCAGACCAGGACTGAGATCGAGACCAGACTGGGACCACACTGGGACTGAGACCGGGACCACACCGGGACCAGACCAGGACTGAGGCCAGGACTGAGACCTGGACTGAGACTGGGACCAGACCAGGACTAAAAACGGTTTAGTCATGTTTTAGTCCTGATTCCGTCCTGGTTCAGTCCGTATGCAGTGCAAAAGTCTGGCATTGCAGTTTAAGTCACGGAAACTGTTTTTTCCAGTATTCATTTAAACACAAAATTGAAAACTGAAAAACAAATCTTTTAGAATCAGTGGGTTTCAAAGTGACGCAAAAAATGATTCCATAAAATTTCCATTGCAGTTACAAATTAAAAACGACATATTATATCTCCTGGATGAAAAAAAGTTCTCAAAAGTTGATGGAAGCTGAAACCAAAGTATAGGAACAAATCTGAAATGTTACCTTACCTATACCCTCCACCCTGTGCTTTTGTTTTGTTTGTTGCTATTCTCTTATTGTTGCATGGAAAATCCCTTGGGCATATATGACCAATAATTCTATAGAGATCTGTTTAGGTTCTTGCATTTTCTTTCACAATACCTGCATCTAGGATTGTATACAGAGATAGGTTTAAGCCCCGCATTGCTCGCTTATGGCAGAGCTATTGAAAGCAACAATAGAGTTTACGTCAGAGTGGATTTCTCAGATGTCTGTAGTTTCAAGTTCATTAAGTTTCTGTGGACATTTGAATCAGAGTATCACATTTAGGGAGATGTCCATGAGAACTTGTTGGCGTGATGATTGGCGTGACTCAGCTTTATCCAGGAGAGCGTGTTCAATCGGTTTAAGACAAACACAACAATTTCAGGCAAAAGATTAAGACCACCTGTTTGGCTGTATTTACATGCATGCCAGAAATCTGAGCATTGCCTGATTTCTGGGTTATCTGGGTTGATTGTGGTGCTGCAGGTTTTGACGAGGAAAATTGTGCAAGAAACGGGACTAATGTGGCAAAGACAAAAATGAAAAATATTGAGAGAGGTATTTTAACATTAACTGTACCTTGAAACTCAGTTGCACCCCTTTATATATTATTTTTGTAGCTGTAGTTTTAGAGACGCTCTCACCTAGTCGTCTAGCCTTTTGAAATTGGCAAATCCACTCAAATTTAATCTGTTTTCATGTTGTTAACGCATCAGGTTTGAAGACAAAATGTCCCCAGGTCCCAAGATAACATTTCATTTGTCATAATTAATATCTTGCCTGATTTGTGTCCATGAATATTTAAAGGTGCCCTGTACAACTTTTCTCGTGGATGGTCTGCCATGGAGATGCTATTGTTTTGCCTGGAATGTTTCACAGTGTTGCTTTAAACATATCTGGCTTCATGAAGCAAGCATGTGACGCCACGGGGCCAAGTTACAGGTTATGCATGTTTTAAAGATTGTCTTGGGGAATAAAATGCTAAATTGACAAGTTTAATGCCATAGTGTGGAGAATCCCAGGCGAAGCAATAAAATTTGTCATGGAGACAAGCAGGTAGTGGACCCCCTAAGTTACAAAGTGCACCTTTAAAAGCATAATCGTGCATTTTCACAGTTGATTGAGATCATTATTCAGCAGACAGTACAAGCATCTCTTCATTATTGTATTGACTGAGACCGCACAACAGTATGTGGTTGAGCACTTAACAACAGCTCAATGAAAAATTCACTTAAAGCAACTACTCTTGTTTTGATGTGCGGTTTTGAGAACGTGTAGCCATGAATATTTTATACCTCTCGCCACATGCCAACCCGTGCCCGCAGCTCTGCTAAGAACATGGTTGGGTGTACCGTTTAAAATGAGTGATTCATCAAAAAGAGAAAAGAAAATATAATAAATAATATATAGTTTCATAAATCATTCACACGCCTGTAATGCCAACTTGGCTGGCCAACAAAGCAGAAAAATACACTTTGTTGCACGTACTTTTTTTCTTATTTGGCTAGAAACCTTAAAGTACATATGGCAGGTTTGAGTACTTTTTCCACTAAAACATACATAACATCATTATATTTGAATACAAAATGTACCTATTTTATCAGTTTATTATTTTACTTCATGGTCAAACAACGGCAGATATGACATAACTGTTTTCTAGCAACTATAATGTTAACGAGGACCAACACTTAAGCTATACTCAGACTGCAGCCTGAAGTGACCCAAATCCTATTTTTTGGCCCCCATTCGACCTATATCTGATCTTTTAATGACAGACTGAACGACACAGATCTGATTTTTTCAAATGTGACCCAGGACACTTGGATATGTGCTCCTAAAACCGATACATATCCAAACTTTTGACATGAGACTTCAGTCTGAATAGTCAGGTCACATTCATCCCACCTACACGTCAGGCTCAGAGTTTTGTCAATGGAAGGAAAGTGAGATTAGCGAGTTCATTCATATTTGGGAGGATCGCTGTATTCAGGTCAAATTGGACGTGTCTTATCGGAACCGAGAGGTTTCGGAAATAATTGCCAAAGAAATGTCCGAGCGCTGCTACAGGCGTCCTGGCCCCAATGTAAAAAAAAAATAAAGAGCCTGTGATCCAAATACAAGGAGGCTAAAGATTCAAACAAACGCAACGGCCGTGGATGTGTAACCTGTCCATTTTACAAGAACTAGATTGTATTTTGTTAAGGCTACTTCCATAAACACTGAGCATGCTTGCTGTGTGTAATGTCGTCATGTCCTTCAGTGCGCATGTGGGACACATTTGGGGTGTTTAATGTTCACACTGGAGATCACATACAAGTCCCATTTAATTGGAAATGTGAACAACCCCGCAAAACAATCTGATTTCACAAAAAATCCGACTTGAGCATTAAGCCCTGCAGCACCGAACGTAGCCTTATAGTATGACTGGACAAAGTGAAGACAACAGCTCCGTTAAATGAAGGCTTGTTAGAAAAATGTCTTCCTTGTAAGTAAACTGGGTGGAATTTTAAGGTGACATGTTAAAATATGTTGAAATAAATGTTGACCACATGTACTATCTCACCAATCTATACAATATTTAGAACAAACATGAAAACCTGCCTTATGTACTTTAATACTGAGAACTGGAGACATAAGGTGCAAACGTTTTGAAGGGGAAAAACATTGATCCCACGTAGATTTTGTTTTGCCATGAGAAGAAACACAAATAAGAGGACAGATTCTTATTTTGTTGCAATTCCAGATCAAAAAATAAATACCATACATGCTGTTATGTCATATTTTCCACCTGAATTCTACTTAAATAATTTACGCTAATTATCATATACATTTTAGGTAGATTCAGTGAACATGTGCTGCCATTAGAGAGCCTTTAGGGTTGAATACTTTTTGTCATACTTTTTGTCAATCTGGCAACCCAAAATTAGAAGCTCATTCTGCTTTGATTGGATAAAATAAGTTGACAACCAAAACAAAGAGTAAACATAAACATAAAATTCTGATTAGGAATAAATGAACTTTAGTATTACAATACATTTTTTGTTTAATCGCACGTGAATTCATATTTGAAGATTTAGATAAATGCTGTTTAAACTATCCTTAACTTAATTTACCCAAGTTTGCCGTGCTCAAAATAAATGAATTAGATGGAAAAACATGACATAACACATTTGTAAAACGTGAACCATTTGATTTGATTTGATTTAGGAACTGTCTCCGTTAAACTATACCACCCACCTATTTTCTCTTCACCTTTGTCTACCTCAATGTACAGGCCGCGTAACCCAAGAGGCAGACGCATAAGGTGTGCTGAATGGACTCAATTAAATATTTAAACTCTCGACTTTGTCCTGCTAAGTTGTTCTTCCTTTTTATTTGTCCCATTGTGAACAGATAGGGTTCCCTGTTGGCTGGTAGAGAAATCCTGTCTCTTCCGTCTGACTTGGAGTGAAGAGACTGTATTGCGTTACCTGTGATTTGCACCCACTTCCTTCAACGCGAGCTGTCCAGGAGGTCACAGGTGCGATGGCTATGGTAAAGATAGAAGATGCTGGCTTTTTCCTGTTGATATAGTCTTGGTTCAGTTCAGTGTACTTCGCCGTTGAAAAGCGAGCATTCAGCATCTTAAAAGAAGTCGAACAAAACTGGAAACAGTAGTTGGATTGTGTGGATGTTACAATGCGCGGATGCGATTGTAATGTCCCTTTTGAGTGTCTTTTTATGTCAGCGCATGTCTAAAAGCTAGTGAAAAGTGGTGTAATAGCGCGACAGACAGCGAGAGCCCCCGCGATGAATGAAGTTGACGTAATGCGAGACCACTGTAGGGACCGGCAAGACACAGAGTCCATTTTGTGTCAAACAATTAGCTGAGATATCCCTGTTTTCGTCCTATTCCGTGGTTTTCTTCAAAGAGAGCTTTTTTTTTCTCTCAAATTCACGATTCTTTTCACAGCTTCGCACAGGTAAGCAATCGGGCCTCTCTGGAAACGCGCCAGGTCTTCTCCGTTTCACAGATTTTAGAAAGTTCAAATCAGGTTCACAAGTCCTCTCCTCTTTCTTCTTTTTCTTTGCACTTCCCTGACTCGGCGATTTGTCCCTGGTTTTATCCGCACTGGCGAACACAGGGGCTCACAGCTGGACATTGCAGTAACATAGGCTATTAAACGCTATTATTCAAGTCAATGTGGTTCTTGCATCGCCGACTGGCTTTGCGTTCCTGATGTTTTGGGACTTGAGGTTGTCTTGGTTACTGGCGCGGGTACAACGGCAGGTTTTGGGTCTATACGATGAATCTGGGGATGCCTTACCACTGTGCGTACTGCCTGTTGCGGTAGATGCGCGCGATATTGATACGACCGCCGATATCGTATTGATTGGGAACGTAGAAGAACTTTTGTGTATTGAATTTCAGGCATAATCAGTTTTAGACAAACATCAGGGGGACTCCAAGCCCCAACGCTGATATTGGAAGGGAGTTCATAACCAACTATGTCGACTTTGCCGTTCGGTTGCCATGGTCTCAAATCTTTGTTTTTGATCTGTGCTGCAGAGCGAAGGGCGGTCTGTCCAGCGAAACAGGTCCTCATGAGTTTTTCTTGAGCTTGCCGTAAAAGTTGTACCTCCCTGCCAACGCAGTCCAAACCGAGCGCAGACAGTTGGCGCCACAGCGAGGCGTTGAAGTGGTCGAAAAGGTAGGCGTCCACCGAATTCCACGCGCGAATTTTAGCCGAAAGCTGCGGGTTCAAACTCTGCTTCGAGCTTTCGGTTCTCATGTTAAGCTTGAAATACACAAGATCCTCCAAGTCCCAGTTGAGGAGGTGACGCAGCAAGACGAGCGATTCGTCAAAATATTCGGAAATCATGACCAGTGAAAACGTCTTCTCAACCTGCGCGGTGAAACTTTTAGCGTACGCCTCGTCTTTCGCGGGGCGGTCCTTGTCCCCGCCCAGATCGAAAGTCAACGTATTCCTCGCGTACATCGAATCCTTATCTTCAGCTCGGTAGTAACGCCAAGGATTATCAAGGAACGCTTCTAGAGATGCGTTGGGCACTCTTTTGAAGCTCTGACAATACTGGCTGTAGTAGACGAACAGCGATTCAAACATGGAACTGGGCTCTCTCATGATGGTGATGTAGGTGGTGTTGGCGGGCATCAAACGCTGTAAATCCGCTTTGTTGAATCGCATATGGTTGGTGATTATGTTCGGGGAGAGGTTGTGCGGATACACAAAGTGACTGGTGAAGGTGCGGGGGTAGCAGAATTGGTGACCACAGCCGGGGATGGGTAAGGCGACGGTGAGGTTGTGGCGTTCAGCGAATCTGAACAGGAGGTTTTGCATGGTGGAGCTGGCAGTTTTGTGCGTCTTGAGGAAAACTACGCTGGTGAGTTTGGAGCGTGGGCCTCGGGGGACAGCACGACAGCCGAAGTGGAATGATTTCATGTTCCTACAAGAGAAATAGGAAGTTTAAGTACATTTTGTCACAATAATTACCATATCGATTTATGGTTCACTATATGATAACTGGAACAATATATTTTTGAGCTGAACATCTACTGAGTATACAAATTCTTGCCAAATCTTATCTTCTTACAAAATCTTAAAGGGACAATCTAGAATTTTGGACATAGGACCTCATTTCCTAGATAGCCAGAGCCAGAGTGTTGGAGACATGTGGAATGTGAATATATGTCGATAGAATAATTTTAGAAGTAAAACCAGCCTTGCATTTGAAGGATTTATGTCTGAGCAGCAGCAGTGAGTTGTACTTCCAGATAGAAAGCTTGGCAGTGGTGGACAGATATCACCTACCACCGATTTTACCGGCAAAGTAAAATTCCACTGCTGTTGAGAAAATAGTCCCTCAATATGTGATGATTCATTCAATGCAGGGTTAGTTTTATTTCAAATATTATTCTAACAACACAGACATTTACATCTGCAGTCTGGTGTAATAATTGTTTTGCTTCAGGTCCTTTGTGGAGTGGGTAAGACTTTTTAGTGGCAGGTTAACTATGGCCATTGACATGCACTAGCCTAGCACCAGCGACCTCTGCAACTACAAGGACTGGATGGAATATTTAAAAAAGTGTCTCCACACGTCTCCAACACTTTGGCTCACTAGGAAATGAGGTCCTATGCCCAAAATTCCGGACACTCCCTGTAAGTGATATTGTCCTGCTTTACTTTTACTGTCTCAGTTTGTCTAAAGTAGTTTCAGTTTTATCATTTTATTTCTTTATAGCAATATATCATTCTTCAAAATGTGTGATCGTGACAGGCCTAGTTACAGTATATTAAAGGTACACTGCATAATTTTGTGGTAGAGGAGCCGCTACCTGCTTGACTCCATGGATATATTGCTACAATGCTCCACAGTTTGACATTAAAATTATCTGCATCCATGGAGAGCAGGAGGATCAGTAATGTAAAAAAGGGCACTCAGGTTTTAGTTGGAGGGTCTGAAATCTTCTTCTCTCTCCAGATACAGTATGTTATTGTTTTGCCCGGAATGTTCCAGTGGCATAAAATCTCCATGGGCACAAGCAAATTACTCCTAATTCACGTAATTGAGGAAGTCAAAGATATATACTGTATATGTTTATATCATTCTGTGGGACATTCTCAGTAAAGCAAAGAATATTAATTTTATAATAAATTGAAACAAGCAGATGACAGACCACAAGACCAAAAGTTACACAGTGCAGCTTTAAAGAAAGTAGGGCTGGGTATCATTACAAAGTTGTTGATACAATACATACCTCAATACAGTGTGCTTTTCATTCGATATGATTTGACATGATATATTTCAAATTGATTTGATACAGTTCAATAAAAAATAAAGGCTAAATCATGGCTGTGGTACTAAAAGTCTTTGTTAAACCACTTCTTGTACAAAGTTAATATGAAACACAAACATTTTAGTTCCTCAAAACAGTGAATATGTCAAATGTGTTTTTTTCCCCTCTAAACAAGCAACAAAACTGTAGCGCTGTAACAGAATAATTTAGTAAAATAAATAAAAAATAATCTTGGCGATATATCGATACAGCAGTCCATGATATCGATACTGTATCATTAAATTAAACGATACAATATATCAATATTTCGATATTTTTGCACACTCCTAACGCACTGTGTAACTGGTCCGCCACCTGCTTGTCTCCACGGAGATGTGCCTAGAATGTTCCACAGTATTGCGATTAATTTATGAATCCCCATGCGAAATTACAGGTTAGATTTATGGAGAGGCAAGCCCACTCACAGTAAGAAGTCATGTTTTTTAAGATTCAGTATTTTTTAATAAATACAAGACAGTCTAGTTTAATACAAGACTGGGGACAATTTAAACCAAAGCATTAACATCTCCATGGAAACAAACAAGTTGCAGACCCCCTCGGGAAAAGTTACACAGTGCAGCTTTAACATAGACCAATGCAAACCAAGGTCTCAGTACTACAGTTTGAGAAATGCTGTCCTTAATAATATGAGCCTACGGTCCTCACCAGTTCCAGTGTCCTCCCTGATGCAGCAGGAGGCTGACAGTACTGATGATGACGAAGAATAGAAAGATCTTTTTCTGCCACATTTTCACTGGATCTGCAAAAGACAGAGAGAGAGAGAAAAGGAGAGATGGAAAGAGAGAAAAGAAGAGAAAGAAGGTGAGAGAAAGAGAGTAGGTGAGAGAGAAACAGAGAGAGAGAGAGAGGAGAAGGAAAAAGAGTTAATTATACACAAAACTCATCAGTCAGTATCAAGTATCAATATCAAAGCCAAAAGAATTGCCATTGCTGAAAAAATGAACCAGTTTCCTTCTATAATGACTAATAAATGGTTGTTTGTACTCTTCTGGATTTGCGCTTCATTCCCTTTGTAATCGCACACAATAGTTTAATCCCACTTCAATGGTCACATCGAATTACAAACTTCTCCATTTCAGAAAGTCTTGTAGCGCCATCGGAGCCTGCAGCACTGACACCTGGGAGCCCGTCCAAATAGTCTCTTCATTGCATCGAATCTGCATTATAATGGTGTAATGCTCGCTTTGGTGATTACATTTGCCTAAGTTACTGTCCAGACCAGTGCCAGCAGCTCGGGCAGAGTCAGATCACATTACGGAGAACATGTGGTCCGAGGGGGAGCCAGTGTAACTGTAGACTGCAGTTATGTCAGCCCCATTCCACTGCACACACAGGCACAGTGTGGGGAGGGAGGCGAGCTCGACTGCAACTGTTTGGAGGGATTAGAGGGTCATAAAATACATAAAACAAAGAATATAGTCAAAGTGATATCCATCTATTCATGGGCTTCAGAATGATGCAGATTCAGGCTGGTCTTCAAAGCATTTAACAGGTCAAGACATACATACATACACACGCAAATGAATGAATTGGTCTGTATGATAATAGAATAAAAACAAAACTGCAGGTAGTAACATGTTTAATATTATAATATAAATTTAATTCATAACCTACGCATGGATTTTGTGAGGACCTTTCCCCATTCAAAAGAGTTAATATTCTGTATTAGTTTTAATAATGGTAATACATAAATTCATCATGAGTCACGCATGATTTTGATTTGAATGGCATTATTGCTATAACTAGAGGACTGTTACCATGCCAAAATCCTTCAAATTAGGAAATAATCCTTTGCCTGAAACTCATGAATAGTAAAAGTGGGCTGCAGAATCATTTTCCTTAGGCCTTTGCCCCATTTCTTTTTTATAGTTGGCCTTATTATGAATGCTGGAAGTAAGAGAACTTTGGGCCAGAGTGGATTTATTATATAATATTACTGCATTTGTCTTATATTTCACTGAAATAGTCACTAAAAGACACTTTGCATTATAAATTCTCTTCAAACTTGGTAACTGGCCAGGGTTTGACTGACAAAAACGAGGCTGCAAATCTGCAAATCTACGCCACTTGCCCCTTTTGAGCACCAACACTCACATACACCACATTCATGCAAAGGAATGAGTGAAGTGGACAAGGACATAGTGACAGTATGCGCTAGAGGAATTCAAACTATCAGCCTTTGAATTGACGGATGAGCACTGACCACCTGCTGCTCAAAAACAACATATTTATTTGGGTTATGTGCTATTTATTTCTTGCTTGCAAATAGACAGACATCTTCACTCAATCTGTTCGGCTGTCTCCTGCTGAAATTGCTTTTTGTCCTTTTGAATAATACAGATGTGGGCGGAGCGGCGCTGGGCCCTGACCAGCTGTGACGAGAGGCTCAAATGGGTTTAGCTCAATACAAACGCACACAGACACACAGATGGACACGAGTGCTAATGCGCCCAAACTAATTCAATAGTTCTGACATTTGGATGCTCATCTCCCAAAGTCAGCACAAAATGGACTGTAACCTCACATGAACTACAATATGTCGTTGTTTTTTGTTTGTAAGATTTCAAAAAATAAGCATGAAAAAAGATTTTCATTACAGTGAACTCTGAAAGTATTTCAGCGTTTTTTCTGGCCTAAGTACAGATATATTGGGTAAGTAGCTCTTGAGATCAAAATAACTCTGCTGTGTACTGTTTGTATCTAATTGTAAAGCATTTTATTGTCCGAGAATCAGGTGCATGTATCCAGTCCACCGCTTTTGGTAGTACTCTGTTTTGTGGTCTGGGGGAGTCAGCTGGAAAGTCCCCCTCAGTTATACCCTTTATGAAACTAAGTTAGTTAATCTATATACATATATAAAAAAATAATAATAACAATATATTTGTCGTCATATATATTGTACACACGCAAGTTACAATATATCTCAACACATTTGTTCATAAATTATGTGGTCTCAATTGTGCCTCACCTATTTCAGTATTTTATCTTACATATTTAAATGAAATACATAGTTAAGACCTTCCTAAAAGTAATTTTGAATGATTTTTTTTTATAACAAATTCTGTAGCTTTCTAGTTTCTTGTGTTGTGCTGCTTACAAATTATGTTCATGGCAGGTAAGGAAAGAATTAATATTTCTTCCCAAATTAACAGTTACAGATGCTATAGGACATGGGGAACAAGAAAAAAATGATTTAAAATACAATTTCATAATAAACTTCTGCGAGCAAATGACGATTACAGATGGAAAAAATGTGTGCCGCTTTGGGAAGATCGGTAAAATGACATAAACAAAGCCCGACATTTGGTCTCGCTACATTCACATTTCATTTTATTATGATATAGAATGTTGATTTTCTAACTCAATAAATCACAACACATGACGTGGCTGACTAAATGCCGGCGAGAACGTCCCCCCTCTCTCGGGCACAGCAGTTACCCAAGTGCTGCCCAAAAGTAGAGGACGCCCGGAGAGAGGAGGGGGACGTTCAAGCCAATAGAATGGGACATTTGAGCTGACTTTCAAGCCAGGGGGACATTCGAGCCGGTATTCGTTCTAGGTGTTGTGGTAGAAATGGTAGAGGCTCAGTCCAGATTCAGAAGGTTTGCTCTGTTTAACAAATAGGAAAATCAGAAATCAGGTTCTAAGTTGGCCTAACTATTCAGTTCCTTAAATATTTTTTAAGACAGTAAAAATCAGGTTCGTCGCTTTTTAACCGTACAATCTAAAATCTAAAATGTATGGCTTATGTCATAACAGCAAGTAAAAAAAAAAAGAAAAAACAGCTAGGAAAGAAGTTTTCAAAATTGTTTAAAAAAGGGACAATGGAAAAAAAAATACTGACACGATTTTTATTTGCTCCTGGATCCAACCTTGGTACAAAAATAGACAAGATACTAGTAGAACATTTTCTTTGCTTCATTTTAGTGCAGACACCTCTGATACATTTTTAGTGTCGTGTATTGTGTACTGCAGAAAACAGTGGTGCAAAAGTGTAAAAAAAAAAAAGTCAGATTCATATAAAATACACATAGGAGGTTGGTGAAAGTGTCTGTATTTGGCTTGACAAAAGCAGACAGCTGCACAGACAGGCAGGGTATAACTTATTCATTGTATAAATTTGCTCAAATGGAGACATGAGCTTAAAACAACAGCTGATCCATCCAAACGTAGCTTAGTATTTCTGAAAAAGGCATTAAAATTGTCTTATGAGGTTTTGAAATTAACGCACTCTTTCACTGTTTTTAATGAGAAATATTCAACAAACAAAAGTGTCCTTCAAATGATAGAGACAAGAAATAGGCTCGTCACAGTGATGTAAAAACTATTAATAACCGTATTTATTGCTGTTATCAGTACTACAATAAAAAGTGACTGTATGTAACTTTCAGTGGAGAGTCAGCCACCTGCTTATCTCCATGGAAATGTTATTGCCTTGAATTTTCCAAAGTATGACATATCTATCTTGCATTTATTCAATTATTCATGTGTTGGTATTGCTCAAAAATACCTTGAAATAGCGTCTTTTCCCTTGATAAAATTCACCAAACATTCTCTTTATTCCGGATTTAAATCCTCGATCTCAAGAATCATTGCCAAAACAGAATGTATGGCTCTTTGCTGATTGGCTGGTGCCCGGACTCGCAGTTCCGGGGTTCTCGCAAACCATATAGTGCAGGGGTTCCCAACTCCCGAGCCGGGGACCGGTACTGGGCTGTGGGTTGTTTGGTAACGGGCCGCGAAAGTGCGAACTCCCCCTCCCATACGCCGTGTGGACCGTCCCTCCTCCCGTACGTCACCTGGATCCTCCTCCGATATGCCGCACGGGCTGCCCCACTAAACCAGAACTAAACCAGGTCTAAAACAGGTCAAAAAACAGGTCTAAAATCAAGACTAAAACAGGATTTAGTCAGGTCTTGCAGGACCATGCCATGTGGACCGTGCACCGCGCCTCCTCACATATGCCCCTGCGAAATATTGTCTGATATAAAACCAGTCCGTGTCACAAAAAAGTTTGGGGACCACTGGTTTAGTGTATTGTGATTCCTGATCTAGTCCCTGGAGAGAAATGAAATTGAGTGGAGACACTTGGTGGCGCCAGCCTGGCTAACCTTTTACCTTTAGTTCAGTAGAAATAGGCAATTCCAGGGCTGAAAACATCCAAATGATTCCAGTGAAGGTGTATAGAGTTGGAGTTTTAACACAGTGGACTTCCAGTATTACCACATGACATCACAAGGTGGAACAGTGTTTTCAGTCTGAGAAAAGAACTCAGCCTAAATATGCAGGGTTTGTGTGTTAAACATGTGTGAATCAAATAAAACACAACTCCAGGTACAGTAGGTTTGTGATGAGGAGCATTATAAAAATGGAGTAATATGGTCCTTTAATGTCATACTGTGGAACATTCCAAGCAAAACAGTAGCATTTCCATGGAGACAAGCTGGTGACTTATGCCGTTTTCTTCTAATTTATTCTACACAGCAACCAGCAGAAAAAAGAAGCGGGGAATTGAATGATAACCATAAATGAGCTGATATATTTTCCATATTATGAAAGCGGCCTTCACGTTGCCTCTGACACATTTGAGCTGCGTGTCTTTTAATAGTCTGGAACGGAGAGTATTTCTGTGTATTAGCATCTCGTCATTGTCAATCACATGACTCCCACAGGAACCAATGGGATCTCTTCCAGGACGCACTCTAAAACGTTTCACTTAGAGTCGAAT